ACCGGGATTATACAAATATGTAGAAACTCAAGAGAACATAATTCAAATATTATTTATTAAAGCATCGAATAAATCCGTATACTGACACATATAGACTTAACAGATTTGTCAAAGATCTTAAATGGTTTTGTAATGAATTAAATTAACTTTAAAATTTTAATCAGGGATGTAATTCGTAGATTTTCTATTAAATCTCTACGAAACATGGCACAATTATTCTACCTTTAAGCTGAACTTTCAGGTCTGTCGTACAAACAGTGTCTCATTCATAATATCATTACGGGCTACTATTTGTGCTCAAATGTGTCTAACCTAATATAACTTAGCTAACACACGAATTTAATAAAATGGAGTAAAAAAAAAATAGACTTAGAAAGCATTTCGTAAACGGTATGTTATTTTCAATATATGACTTTATTACAGGCTTATAAGATACGAATTACCAATAGTGATAAATGCGAGAAACGCAGAGGGCTGTGAAATAAGCAGATTTTGGAAGATCTGTTATATTTAAGTCCTATGTTATCATGAAAAACAAAAACGTGGAACTTAAAACAATTTAAAATACTATTAGAATGAAGTTTACAACACTCCTTAGAAGTCCTACTCCATCCAATATAGCTAGAGAACAACAATAACAGAAATAACAAAAATACTAATAGTAACACAAGGTGCTAGAATATATAAACTATTTCATTTCATTATAATAATAGGTCTAGATTCTAAGTCTAGATATTTATATGACATCTCAGTTTCCTCAAGTAGTTTCTTTGTACATTAAGCTAGAATTTCGATGTGTGACTTTAATTTAGATGCTACAAAAAAAATTTAAATAGATTCTAATGGAATGGTATAGAATTTTAACTATTATAAATACTTAAATATATATATATCACATATATATTAGAAGAGTAACGTTACTCCAGATTATTATTTTATTTAAATGGTAGATCGAAAGTTATATGTCAGTATATTTGTCAGAAAATAAATTTTTCAAATGATTTGTTATTGTAAAATCAAATTAGAAAAGAATAAAAAATCTATAAGAAATAAAAAAATTATAAGTTTTCATTTATTAAGTGTTTAAAAATATAATTAGATTTTAAACTAATTAAGAGCAAATTAAATAAAACATATGTGTGATATATATGTGATTTGCATATATAACAACATTAAAAAAATTAAATCAAATTAAAAGTAAACACAAAAATAAATTTAAATAATTAAAAAATAATTTTAAATAAGAACACATTTTTTTAAATTTATTTCAACATATTGTTTTAAATATATTTTATATTTCGTTTTGTAATTCTTTCAAGTAAAATAATAATAAAATATGAAACAATAAGATTTATAAAATAATCAAATTTTAAGTTTATATTAATATTTGAATTATAATAATAATAATAATAATAATAATAAAAATTACGCTAATTTTGTTTAAACGCTTTTCACTGATTTATTTTAACATTTAAATTTAATAATTAAAATATATTTTGTTAAAAATTAAAACTTATACAATAAATTATATTAAATATTATATATATTTTTAAAAAATATATTATATAAATATATATGTATAGTATATATATATAGGTATTAAAAGCATTTTAGTCGTTTAAACAAAAATAAAAACCATAAAATACAATTTTTCTATACAATTACAAAAAGTAAAATAAAAATTCAACTGAAAACTAATTATATATAAAGTATGAGAAAATTATTTAAACTTATTAAATAAAACATACATACAAATTGCACAAAAATTGTTTAGTATTAATTTTAGGATTTTTCTTTTATACAGATGAATTATAATATTACTTAATACTAAATCAATAAAACTAAAAATATTTATTTAAAAATTTTAATTTAGTTAAAATAAAATAAGGCCATTTGTATAAATTTTCTTTAAATCATTTTTTAAATAAAACATGTATATGTATATATATGTGTGAAAATAAAATAAAATCAAAAATAACAAGTTGAATTAAAGAATTCAGTAAAAATAGCGAAAGTATAATATATATATAAAAATTTTTTGTAAATTTTGATTTTTTTTCTTGTTCTTAAATACCGAAAAATAATTTTAAATTTAATTAATATTGAAGTCTTTTGTTGAAAAAAGTGATTGCAGGAATGAGAAGAATTTTTATTTTATTACATATATATATTTGAATTGTACAAATAATTTATTAAATAATAGAAAGTTTATAGTTCTATAGTTTTATTATTATAGTGTATTGAGTGTAGAAATATTTTTATTTAGGAGAACTCCAATCACTTTCTTCTAAAATTTTTTTGTTTTGTTCTTTCACAGGAATTATGCGATAATGTCAAGTATTGGAGAGTAAAAATCTTTTTAGGATAAAACGGATTTTTTTTTGAATACTTTGGACTTGATTTCACATAAGCCTGTTAAGCGCCTAAAAAGAAGAAATTGTTTTATGTATATATATAAAATTGCCGCCAAATGAGTTTCATTATATTTTTTTGCATGATTTTTTAATTTACGTTTTTTTTTGTATTGTGTATATAATTTTTATACATTTCAAATCAAACATATAAAAAAGGAGGGAATAAAACGTTGTTTTTGCGTTTTTTTCTAATATTTAATTAAAATATTTTATAAAAATCAGTCCAACTTTTCGTTATATGCTTTAAAAATAAAGAAATTAATTTTAAAATTTCGAAAATATTTTTTTTATATATATATAAAATTTTGAAAAAATTTTTATTACGATAAAGTGTTCACTTAAACGTATGCTTAGCTTTTTTTATATATATAAAATTATTTTTAAAAGTTTTAAAAATTGAATTAATTTAATATTTAAAAACTTAAAACTGTTATAAAATTTATTTTATTGATTTGCACATAAAAGAGTCCAAGAGTTTTGAATTATTTAAATTATAATCAATGTTTTTAAATTATTATCAAGTTTATTTGATAGATTTATAAGTAAAAGAGGTATAAATATTTAAATTTAAATTTAAATAATAATTAATACTTTAACATTTCTTCAAGTTTGTTTTAATAATTTATATATAAAAATGGTTTAATTTCAAACAAGTATTAATTGCAACCGGTATTTAGAACTTGTTTTAATAATTTTATATCCACATAAATTTAAATTTTCATTTGAAATTTAAATAAAATAAATAAAAATTTATTGTTTATATATATAAAATATTTCTTGAATTTAATTTAATATTGAATTTAAAGATATTTATCTTCCGATTGAAATTTAAAAATGATTTGTAATTATTAAAAAAATAAACAAATATTATATATTATTGCTGTAGTTAAGAATTAGTGTTAATTATTTAAATTTTAAAAAATAATATTTTCAAAAAAATAAACGACCTAATAATTGCTTCATTTTAAACAAATTAATTAATTTAGTAATTATTTGATTTTAAATAAATTAAAATAGTTTATTTAATAATTCTTTGACTTTAAATGAAAGAAAATAATTTATTTAAAATCAAATCAAACTTAGTGATGATTTAATTTAATTAAATAAATTTCAAAACAGAACTATTAATCATATTATAAAATTTAGAAAAGATATTTACTGTAGTTAAATCAAGTAAATATTAATTTTAATTTGAATTTAAAAGTTAATTTCTGCTGTAAAAAAAATATTATAAATATCAAATTGAAACTATTAAATTTTTAAAACAAATTATTATAATTAAAAATTTTATAAATATTTTTAAATTATAGAAATTAAAAATGTTATTTAATTTATAGATATCCTAGTAATTATTAGTTTTAATTAAAATTTTAAAAATTAATTCAAATTAATTTAATTTTGAAATATATTTATTTTAATATAATTCAAAATTTAAAATTTTCAAATTATTTATATATATAAAATTTCAGACACTTTCAAAATGTCTTGCTAAGCAAACGTTTCTCGGAGCTCTTAGAAATGAAATATAAAATAAAATATAAATAAAAAAAATTATTAAAAAAATTAAAATTGTCTAATTTTGTAAAAATTAAATATTAACGATAAAGTGCACATTATTCAATTAAAAAATGTTAAAATTTCATAATACATAGAAAAAGTGAAATTTTTTTTAAAATAAGGTACTAAAATTTTTTACATATTCAAATCAACAAATGTTTATAAGAATTCCGATTTTATACTGTAGCATAATTTTAATAAAAATATGTTTTTTATCTTATTTTTAATTTAACAAAAATACATTGCAAAATTTTATAACTTTTTTTCTTATTGTATAATATTATATAACTACTAAACTAAGTTTCAGAGTCTAACTTAATGCATCGCTATATTAATAATTTAATATTATATTATAATATATAAACTATAAATTAAGTTTTAATGTTTATATATATATATAAAAACAATCTTTATTCTCTTCGCTTTTGCAGTTCTACAAGTTTATTTTTAAACTAATTTTATTTAGTTCTTAAATATAATTATTACAATTAAATAATTTTTATTAAATTTTTTTTTTTCATAAAATTTTAAAACAAAAACATAATATTTTGCAACATTAAATAATTCATGTATGTGTTTTTGTTAATAATTTTAATAATTATTACAAAATAATAAAACAAAACTACCAACATAAGCCCTGCACAACTATAAAGTTTAGTTTTAAAATTATTTTTTATTAATTAACATTTAATAATTATTTTTTTCATTTAAATTAATATTAATAAATGGTATTAAAAAAAATGTATACATTTTATATTTAAATGTAGTTGTAGTTGATTTTTTACATTCATGCTGTTTTGTTATAATAAAATATATAATATTATTTTAATTCAATTTCATTTTTAAACATTATCTTATATTTAAAATATTTAATAAAAGGTTTTATTCAGAATTATTATTCATTTTATTGAAAAATCATATATTACAATTTATATATATAAAAAAAATTATTTAATAACTTTTTCTTTAAATTTAATGTTTCATTGTTAAAATCTAATTTTAAATATTTATAATTATTACATGCTTAATTTCAATTTATATTAAATTTTCATCTTCATGTAAACTTAAGACTAAATAACTGCATTTTATTAATTTTAGTTTTTAATAATAATTTTTTCATTTTACAATTTCATTTTAATATTCTTTTCTTGCTCGTTCGCTTTTGCACAATTTTAGCTGCCGTAACGCTAAGCCCGCCCATACTTTTCGAAGCCCCACAATAATCACATACGCACATTTTACATATACTTCAAGTCTAACAGTTTTTATATAAATAAAGGAAATTAAAAACATTAAACTAGTCGAGTGCGTTACAAACTCACTCTAGCCCGCCCTCAAGCAGTACCACGCCCCCGCCGTCTGCTACTAGCCCACCCATACCCACACTGACCACTACGCTATCGTCCAGCTCAGCTTGAAGCAGCAAAGATTGCTGCTATGCCGCCGTACTATTCTCGTCTCCTAACATATGCTCTTGTTTCAATGTAACACCCATCATACCTATAGTCGGCGACCCGCCATACATATTTGTCGTGAGGCCACCATTCAAACCTGTTGAAGTGGTTGGTAGCATGCCGATAGGCGTTGTGGATGTCGCTGACATTGTTATCGCCGCCGAGGAGCTGGTTGAGGTTGCTTGTACTCCGGCAGCAGCCGCAGCCGCCGCTGATGTGGATGCTTGCGCTTCCCGTTCCTCTTGTGTCATTTGTATGTGTGACTGTACTTGTGGTGGTATCGCATGTACATCCCATATTTCTTCCAGGAATTTCGGCAGTTTACGGTTTTTCAATTTCAATGAGAAACACATTTCGGCATTCTGGTTGCCCAATGTACGTAATTCGGTTAGAATGGAGAGCAGTTTCGCAAAGAAAACTATACTCATTGGATCACCACAATGTCGGTTTAATATATAAATGCGCAGTGTATCGATGTAGTAACTTTGTATCGCTTCGACTAGTTCAGCTTCTTCAAGACCCGGTCGATCGGAGAAGATCACAATGGCAGTGAGTAGCGCATACTCGACATTATCGACTTTCATTGCGTACATTTGCCGACAGAAATGCAATAAATCCTCAATATTATCAGCCACACCGGCTAATTTGTATGAATCACGGGTATACGAACGATTATTGGCAAAGAAAATCGAATCCGAATTGTGATCATAGCGACGGGCCATACGCAACATCATCACTTCAGAGGAGCAGGCCTATAAAAATGTTTATAATTAGCATAGAATGCAATAATGATATTATTATAGAAGAATACGAGAATACTTACTTTTAATAACGTTATTTGATCCTCTTGAGGAATTTTTGTAAATGCAGGCAAACCTTTCGCGAATTCCACGATCAGTTGTACTGTTAAAATGGTGATTTCGGTTATGTGTCGGAAACTGACATCATTCTGACTCTCATTTTCATCAGGTGAAATCTAAAATTATTTTTATTAAAATAATGGTTTAATTAATAAAATTAATTACGCAATTAAAAAAAAAACAAAAGCCTTAATGTATTATCAGTTCAAGTGGTACAATAGTTCTGATCACATTAAGTACCCACATTAGTTTGTCTTATGTAAGTATTTATAGATCTGGCTTCTCTCTACTTGTCAAATTTTAATTAATAACCATTCCGTCTTTATCGATTACCTCGAAAATGATACAAAACTGCTTAAGTCTTTTTAATACTGTAATACTGTAATATTAGGACGGATACCAACAGACTAATAAAAGGAACCCAAAAGAGACAAACATGTCCTTAATTGAATCAGAGATATGGACTCATAAAAAGTCACACGGATGAAATAATCACGAAATGGGAGTAAAATTATAAGTCCCTGATTTTATTGTGTAAACGAACGTCAGCAAAATAATACCTTATCTTAGAAAAGGAAATATCACATAAAGTGCTTTCGCTAAGCTAGGTTAACTTAGTGACTTTGTAGGTCATTACAACCAAAAGTATCATTTAGATTAGTTATGACTTTCTAGTACCAATGTCTTCCGATTTTGAGAAATGAGTACCGATAGCACATTCTCCATGATGGGTATTCATCATGACAAAAGCTTCATCACTTAGCTGGTATTGTCATACCTTTATAAATTCTGTGGAGTCTAAACTCCATCCAAAAATAATTATTTCATCTTATATGCACGAAACATTCACAATCGAAAGATATAGTTAGGTGGTTATCTTATATTGGATAAACGAATAAACATTAACAATCGAAAGATATAGTCAGGTCGGTATATTATTTTGAATGAACGAAGGAAGTTCGATAAGATAAGTTTTATATACTCTTACTCTATCAAGGGACTACCATTGATTTTTAGAAAGTGCCATAACTTTTAAATTTAGTTATAATATTCACTTACCATAATACGTTTGAGATCCTCCTCTGATGGCTGTTCATAGCCATCCTGATACCAAATCAATTTATATATAACCGCCAATTGATTGTATGTAAGTGAAGGTATATTGCGCGCTTGACATTTTGCTACAATGTCTTCAGGTAATAACTAAAAAATAAATATAGAGAATGTAAATAGGAAGAACGCTTTAAACCGCATAAATTTCTAAAATGTTTTGTTAAACTTACCGGACATGTTTGATGTGTTGGCGGTTCACATTTCATCAGTTCGAGCACTTCTTTTTTTATAACATCGCTGGTATTAACCGACGGCGATGTTTGCTGTTTATCCTTTTCTTTTTGTGCCTTCTTTTCACGTCGTTTCATTGCACATTGATTTTCGGGTACTACACATTCCGGCCGCATACCCACGGCTAAACATTTCTTCAGTCTACATTCTTGACACTTACGTCTCATATACATATCCATTTCACAGGCATGTCCGAATTTGCAGCAATAAACTGCATTCTTCGTAACGCTCCGTCGGAAGAAACCCTTACAACCCTCACAAGTGAGCGCATTGTAATGATAACCGGACGCGCGATCTCCACAAACAAGACAAAGTTCCTCCTGCAGACGTGGCGCAGGTCCTTTCTTAATCTTTTTGGCATCGCAGCCTTCGTTAGTTGAGTAGCCATTAAGACTACTCGAGGGTGAGAGATCATCACGACCTAAAAGAGATAATAAATATGAAATTTAATATTATGTTATACAGATTATTAATATACTTAAAAATGTGTTCTTTTCAAATTCTTGAAGAAATCCATAAAATAATGTTTAAAATTTAAATTGACTCCAAATTTTTTTTTTTTTGAAAATATTCTTTTTTTAATTTTATTAATTTTCTGCATACATCCAATTTTGTCTTTGTGTTTCTGAAAATTGAGTTCTGAGAATATCTTCTGAGAAATCCAGGTTTTGATATCTCTCTTTTAATCCCTTCTCATACATGTCTATAAAGGAATTAAAATCAAAGATTTGTTGCTTTTTTAGTGCATAAATAAAATTCGACTTTTACTGTATGCACTAGTGAAGTGATGCGGTTCACCATGGTATTAATTTTTTAAATTGATTTGTATTTTCTTCAAATATAAAAAATCTACCACATAGTAAAGTTAATTTTTTTTAATATTTCATTAATTTTAATTAATTACTTGATTTAATTACTTGGGTAAGTAGTGCTTACAAATCTGTATTCTTAAAATTTTTATTAATGCTTTAGCTGGCAGTGTGGCTATTTTTTTATTTTTATAGTGCATTAAGCTGGCACTTTGGCTGCTTTATTTCTTTTGATATTTGCGGTGTTATTTATTTTAACGTATGTCTATGCGTGAGTGAAGTGAAGAGTTTTACTTACTAGTTGATTTTTTAAAATTATATTTCGTTGAAACATAAAATAGTTTTTTTTTTAATTTACTTTAGTTGAACAATGTTGAAGTTATTCTATATTCATATATCGTTACTTTATCTCACTACTGTAATTAATATTTTTTTTTCTATTTAATATTTTTTAGTTGGATATCGAATAGGATCTCCTAATTTAAAACTTTACTGAATGCAAGAGATCTCACGATGATGCTACCCAACACTTCAGTTACAACCTAATATGGGCTTGAAGTTATAGAAATAAAGAGAGCCATTACAAATCCGATGCGTTGAAAGTTACAAAAACTTAGGTTAGGTTATACCGGCGTTTCTATGAGATACTAGAAAACACTTAAATCTTCCAGAGTAGAGAATCAATAGGGATGTCTTTTGCTTTAGTTACCTTCGTTTTTAATCAAATTTTTATAAAAAATACATGAGCAAACTATGATCAAAGATTATAAAGATTATTAGAATCCTTATAAGTTGTTTGATAGGAAGGTACGCAGTCATTTTAAAAGTATCAGTCTGACTAGCAAGCAGGGGAATAAACGTTAGATGGTTACTTACAAAAAATCTCTTTAGAAACAGAATAAAGCAACTCTTCTGTCACTGTACTGGTTTTTGTAAGATTATGCAAGGGCACTATTAAAGTACAGAGAAATATCCGATGTAACCTGAAACAAGTTAGTTTAAGGAATAAAAGAATGCAATAATTATATCAACCATCTACCATTGAGGAAGACTTAGACTCATTTTAATACAAAGTAAAAGGGTTATAATTATATCTATTAGAAATTAAATAGGATGTTCTTCAATTGATAGATATATAGACAGATTAAGAGATGAGTAATATGAAATCTTTATGTACTGTCTATGGGAAAGAAGAAAGTTTTTAGTATATTCTACGGTTTAGCTTCACTATTTGTAAGTGCAATTAAAAGTACGAATTAATATAGAAATTGGGAAGATTTTTTAAATATATACTATATGGTTCAGCAGGGGGTAAAGGAATTATCACGTTCAGTGAACGTCATTGATTTAAGAATATTATATTTGGACTAGTGATATTTACTTAAAATAAACCAGGTCTTCCAACCGGAACCGAAACGAAAAAAGCCGATATTTTTTTTTTGTTTTGAACCGGATCGAAAGCCGGAACGGAAAAAATTCACGGCTCGAATCCGAACTGAACCAAAAAAAAACCGATGTTTTTGTCGTTTTGAACCGGAACGGTTTGAAGTTCTGAAATCAGCATGTGTATGTTTTTGATTTAAATCAAATTTTTGAAATTATTTCTAGATAATGGTGAGTTTAATCTTATTATCCAGACATGTACATTTGACACCTATACATGTCTGGATTATTTAATAGATTGAATTTTTATCAATTTTTTCGATCGAAAGTTGTCACAATAAATTTCCCAATAATTTCAGATTCTTCTCAGAGGGAATAGAACATAAAATACTCTAGATAAAATAAACAGAATTAACGATTGTAAAATAAATTCAAAATAAATGCGAAACTCAATAATTTTTCTGAAATTTTACAAATGTTAACGAAAACGGAAAAAAATTCGAATAATTCGAATAATTTGTGGATTTATTTGAATTACAAAGCGTATCTGCTTTACATTTGTGCAGATTTCAAATCGCAGCTTGAAAATTGTAAGTCTTGAAAACGTGATTTAAAACAGACAAGCGAAGAAACTTCAATTAAAATTCTAATGAAATACATTTTTTTTTCTCGAAAGCACATATTACTTTGGGATCATATTTTAATGAAGAAGAAGAGGCAGTAAGAAGGGTATGTGTATACGTAAATTGTATTATAAATATATACATATATTTATAACAATCTAAAAAAATCAGAAAAAAAATTTGCATAAAGAAGTGCGTTTTGCATACACACGCAACGAACGATTACGTTCTTTGACAAGACATAACACATATGCTCACTCGCTGGCTCGTTTACAGATACAAGATACAAGATACAATTGTATCTGTTGCTGGTTTCGCACTGTAATAACAAAGAGATAAACATTTAAATTCAAAAAACGTTATTGCGTGTAAAAATGTTATTTTATATTTTAGCAAATTTGCATATAAAATGTATGCAAGTGTGTGTCTACTAAAAATTTATAAAGTTTTTGGTCAACATTTGCTTTTGGCTTTGGATTTTGAGGTTTGCGAATTAGTTTTCTTGTTTTCTTTTTTTTTTTGGTCTCTCGCTCAAAAAATATAATAACTTTTTGCCAGCTACGCAAAATCAAATTGTGTATATATAATGTTTTATTTATATATAAATATACATTAAGACTGAAAAGTTTTCGGAAATTCTCATTTAAAATTCGCGCGCTGTATATTTTTCGATATTTTAAGTTTATGTAGTTTGGCAGCACTGTCCTTAATTACTATGCCAAAAATGAGCTCGATCTGTCAGACAGTTCGTTTACGGCAGCTGTTGAAACCAGTTCACCTCAGTAGTGCGTTGCGAAATGTCTTCGACGGTCGTACGACCGTCCTGGAAGGCTTTGTACCACTCATAAACTTGAGTTTTCGATAAAACTGATTCCCCATAAGCCTTTTGTAGCATTCGCAACGATTCTGCACACGAAATTTCGTTCGAAACACAAAATTTGATGCAAACTCTTTGTTCAATATTTTTTTCCATTGTTTTTTTCGCAACGCCCTACTGAGGTGAACTGGTTTCAACAGCTGCCGTAAACGAACTGTCTGACAGATCGCGCTCATTTTTGGCATAGTAATTAAGGACAGTGCTGCCAAACTACATAAACTTAAAATATCGAAAAATATACAGCGCGCGAATTTTAAATGAGAATTTCCGAAAACTTTTCGGTCTTAATGTATATTATCAAACATACATACATACATATATAATATGCTTCTTTTTATCAATTTCTGAAGGTTCATACTTTGAATTTTAATTGCGAAATTTTTTTGGCAAAATGGCGTCAGAAATGACGTGCCATTTGACATTGTCTGAAGTTTGATTATTTCTAATTCACTTTTATTTTTAGTTATTTTTGTAGCTGTGAGTAATTTGTGGTAATTCGAGATTTTAATTGAAAACCATAACCTTGTCGTAGACAAACCACAACACCACCTTCATTTCTTAATTACAAGAAAAGGTGTAATCCGTCTGGGCAAGTGATGTGTAACATCACTAAATCTACACCGACAACTTATGAGAGCAGTTGATTACGTTTATGATTGGAAACGATGTAAATAACGAAATAACATCAATAATATTGATAATATTGATATCATAATTCGATAATTGAAAGATTTATTCTGGGATGCATTCTATACTATATTATTAAGAAAAATATTAAGAAGTTTATTAAATATTTTTCTGTAAGCTTTAATAAATTACGTATATCGGAATTTTCGAGTAAAAGTTCTAGTCATTATTTATGTGTATATATATATTCATATATATATGAAAATAAGCCAGCTACAAAGTATGTTGAATATATAATGCAAGGATCCTGGATATATATTGGATTCAATATAGGATTGGAGATAAAGTATCATCAATCTTGGATATACAATACAAGATTTTGGATATACAAAGGATCCAATCTTGGATTAAAATTACTTTACTTATAGAATTGAATGGGGTAGTTCTATTTGATCTGAAGATGCAGCGTGGCTTCCTAGTTTGTAGGTTGTAGATTGTTTACCGGCAGTAGATATATTTTGTGGATATTTTGAAAGTCTTTGGTATATTGCAATGACCGGCAACATTTTTATAAACGCTTGACAAATACAATAATTAACAACGACACCTGATATAACAATCAAAAATATTTCATTAATCATTTCTTTAAGTTAAGTTAAGGAAAATACATTTCAACTAAAAACTGTAGTAATATGTGTAAAACTAATCCATTATTTTTGCTTAATATTGAAGTCTTATTTAACATAGTTAAAATGATTCCATTTAGGTCCAATATGCGCCGTTTTGTTCGACAACTTGTTGATGTTTGAAGGTAATTTCATTATGCCTAATTATGTCCTCGTCCCTATTGGCAAAAAAATTGAGACAGTCCATTTTCACAAGCCTTTCTTAAAGCGAATTTTTCACCAAAAAAATCGTGCACCATGTCGAAGAACAGATAATAATCACTTGGTGCCACGTCTGGACTATAAGGTGGATGTATAATGACTTCCCAACTAAGTTTCCGATAGTTTTGGCGATTAATTGCCGATGTGTGTGGCTTGGTGTTATCCTGTTGGAACACAATTTTTCTCCTATTGCCCAATTCTTCAGATTCTTGAGA